CTTTAAAGCCACGTTCAAACGCTCTAATTGCTGACAATAGACTTGAGCATTGATTGTCGCATTAGTTGGCAGCTACTCAAAGTGAATAATTCCTTTGCAATTCCACCAGATAGAGAGAAGAACCTTCTTCGCATGAAGTTCCATTTTCGGTTGTGGTTGGGCCTTTTCCCCATTACTAAGCCACTGCCTACGACGTTTAACATTTTTATAAAAAATCAATTTTTCATCACCAGTCCCAAATCTATCCAAAAAGGGCGAGATAAGGTCACGAGAATGAAGAGAAGAGCAGATCTCAACTCGCGATTTGCGGTTCACTTCAGACAATTCATGTGGCACCCATTTTCCAAGTTTAGGAACCTTTCCACGTTGTTGAAGATGACGATGAACAATTGTATGGTTTGAACCAAGCTTCATAGCCAATTCTTCAACTGATACGGCAGGATTTTCTTCAAGTAATGCCACAAGGAGCATATCATCAAACTCAACTGGACGTCCTGTTCGGTCTTCATCTTCAAGGCTGAAATTTCCACTTCTGAATTTTGCAAACCATCTTCTGCAAGTTTTTTCATTCAGGCATTCTTCTCCATAAGCTGAGTGAATATTTCGAGTCGTTTTGGCTGCAGAGTTCCTTTTTTTAAACTCATAACGCATTATATGCCTCAAATGCTCTTTAGATACTTCCATGTTCAAAGAGCTTTAATCAGTGAAATTTGAAATACTTTATTCAGTAAAATAAATTTAATAAGTTTAATATGCACAAATACATATTGTTGTCTTGTTCCTTCGTGAATGCCCTAGCATTTACTAGATATATATGTTTTTCTGGTATATAAATAAGACGCTCACAACGTGACTGGATAATGTAATGTGTGTGTAGATAGTGAGTAATTGAACTGCAGTCAGAGAGAGACGTATTGTTGAAGTTAACGTTCGTTGTTTTAGCGCGATTGTTGAAAATCAGTGTATCGTGTAGTTGTATTCGGAAAGAATAAACCAGTTTTATTAGAAAGGACTTGTGTCGC